TTCTTTTTCAACTTCCCTTGCTTGTAATTCCGGGCTACTCCTTAGCATGATGGCATTGACTTGTTGCCTTGGGTTTTGCTCAGTTTGGGAAGGGAGCCTACCCGAATCTTTTGCTTCAAGTCGATTCACAGCATTCGAAATTTAGCTAACTTGAGTTTCCAAATTTTGAATGCTTGACTTTGTTTCTTGTTGAAATTGCACCACGTTTTGTTGCAAGGTGCCCATGCTCGTAGCAAGAGTTCGAATCATGTCCTCCGTAGACATACTAGACTGAGAAGATGGGTTGGATTGTTGAGGGTTTCCATACCTCAAGTTTGGATGATCCCTCAATCCTGGATTGTAAGAGTTTGAGAATGGGGCGTACCTTCTTTGCTGATGTCCTTGGAAACCCAAGGCGTTGACTTGCTCTGTGGTGTCTTCTTGAAGAGTTGGGCATGAGTCCGTGGGATGCCCTTGTTGTGTACAAATACCGCAGACCTTGACTTCTTGGGTCTTGGACTTTAAAAGGAAATCCTTAACCAAAGAAGTCAAGCCGGTCACTTGACTTGTCAAGCCGTTCACTTGATTTTCCAACGAGTTGTTGGATTCCGCCGCCATAATTCTACGAGTTGAGGACCGCCCGTTATAGTGTCTAGAGTTCTCGGCTAACTCCGAAATGAGGTCTCTCGCTTGCGAAGGGGTTTTGTTGACAATGCCTCCTCCACACGCTGCATTCACCATGCGACGATCTTGATCCACAAGACCCATCATAAAAGTAGAGAATGAGGTCTTGTTCGGTGTATCCGTGATAAGGGCAACTCGCACATAGCTTCTTGAATCTCTCCCAATATTCGTATAGAGATTCATCATCTTTTTGTTCAATGTTGCTTATTTGCTTTTTGAGTGATGATGAAATAGAAGCGGGGTAGTACCTGTCAAGAAAAGCCTTCTTCATTTGTGGCCATGTAGTGATACTTCCCGAAGGAAGATAGAAAAGACAATCCTTCGCGGTGTCCTTCAAGGAGAATGGGAAGGCCCTTAGTTTGATTTGCTCCTCGGACACACCATTGGGGCACATGCTTGTGCACACAATATGGAACTCCGACAAGTGTTTGTTCGGATCCTCCCCTCGTAAACCATGGAATGATGGAAGGAGATGAATGAGCCCAGATTTTAGATCAAATGTGACCCCCGTATCAAGAGTTGGAAAAGTGATACATAGGGGTTGTTGATCTAGATTCGGAGCCGTGAGCTCCCTCAATGTTCTCGTTTCATGAGCCATAGTGATTGGCTCTTCGGTCTCGCTAGATTGAGAACTAGCACTTGATGATTCCTCCGAAGAAGTATTCGGAAATAAATTCCTAAACCTCTCGAAGGCTTGTTCCGTTTGGGGGTTTGTATGGTAGATGATTTCGTTTATGGATCGGGTTCTTACCATATACTCAAACAAAGCTCAGAAGAGAAAAAGAAATCTCTATATAAGTAAAATATTTTTTTTTCTTTTTCTTAAAATAAAACAAAAAGAAAAATTAATTGCCTTTCCCCGGCAATGGCGCCAAATTTGACGTGCACTCTGTCGTGTGTGCACTCAAAATAATTCAATACTAGCACTAATACGTAGTATAGTGAAGTAGAGTTCGTATCCACAGGGAAAGGAATAACTCTCTTTTTATGTAACTAGTAAATAAAGGGGGGTTTTGATTTTGTGATTTAATTAAATTAAACACGAAGATGAACGAGTTATATGGGTTTTAATTCAAAGATAAAAGGGACTTGGCATTGCTATTTCCACTTGTTGATATATTTTAGTCGATCATTGTTATATCTATAACTTATCTCCTCTCGAATACTCAATCGAGGAGTATATCCAATTCATCGAGGATAGCTATTAACAACGACCGTTCATTAATAACCCTTACTATTAGTCAAGTATAGAACAACGTCATATACCGACTTGATAGTAGCATTTAATCTCTTAACTCCTTGATGAAATCAATTGAGATTGATAACCTCAACACAACGGTTTCGGTTTAACCAACAAAATTAATCCCTCTTAAGTTTATTAACCACGACCGTGCATTAATAAACCAAAGTTACTTGTGAAACTATCAACGATTAACCATCGGTTCGTTGATCGTTTCTAGTAATAATTAATATATGAAACAAAACTAGTTGATCCTTTAAGTAATGTTCAAAATATTAATATGAAATATGAATAGGAATTAATTAATACTCAAGGAAGAATATTAAAGAAAATGAATCCTACTAAAGTTAATATCAAGATGTTAACTAATTGTCATCTTAGTAACACTCCCCAATATTAACATAGAGGAATGAATAGCTATTACTAAGACCAATGTCAAGATGTTAACTAATTGTCATCTTAGCAACACTCCCCAACATTGATATAGAAATAGTATTTTAAGGAAGAATTAATATTCAAGGAAAGAAGTTAAGAAAATAACTCACAACTTTAATAATCAACAAGCTTCAAGAGCAATACCAAGAAATGGAAGTTTAGCTCCTCATTTGGAGACTAAACATGCTAAAAGAAATATAAAGAAATGCTATTCTAAACTGAGGTTAAGAGTATAAAGGGATTGGTGTCTAATTGTGAAGGAAAGGAGGTGTATTTATAGGACTTTTTGGGGTGCAGGTCGGGTACTCGATCGAGTATATACAGATACTCGATCGAGTATGTGTAGAAATTCAAACTCGGTCCATACTCGATCGATATTCGAGTAAAATTTATAGCTATACCCGATCGAGTATGTCGGTGTACCCGATCGGGTATAGACATTCGATCGTGTCAAAATCTTCCCTGCATGTTCCTTTGTTTTCGGATCCGATCCGATTTGAAATTTCAACAAGATACCCGATCGAGTATAGATGATACTCGACCGGGTATAGACCATAAAATCAGGAACAATTCTTTGTCTTGTGATTTTGCACCTTCCTTCCACTTTTGGGGTTCACCAACTGTCCTTTGAGTGATAGTAGACCTGTTTGAGCTCAGAATAAACCTAATCTAAACAATTTACAAGAATTTAACATACTAAACTATTACACCAAAAGCGTGTAATTTCCGAAATATTAAACAACCAAAACTAACTAAAAACGTAAATAAACACACGGAAATTACAAGCGTATCATAAGACGTTGATTTTGGATATGGGAGATGAGAGGAATATGGTAACCGTTTTTGGCGTTTTGATTCCCAGTTATGGATCGGCGAATTTTATTGCTACGACGATTAATTCCAAGTCTGGTTTGAGGGATAACAGTTGTCAAATTTCCTTTTGTCATTTGACTCATACTCTGAAAAATTATTGGTTATTAATATAAGCCGAATTCATTCAAAAAAACTATGTTCATTTTTACGATGTAGTAACTATGAAATTAAGGACATAATAAATTTAATCGTATTTTTATCTATAAAATCTATTTGAATATTTTAAGAAATGCATAACAGTGATGATGTCACTTTAAGTTGTTCCAGAATAATTGTATATATACCTACAAGTTTTCCAATATAAGTATTATTTGTGATGTAAATGGTTTTAATTCTATATTAGTATTTCGAGTACCATCTTATACATATTCCTCTTTCATCACATTCTATATGTATCATATTTTTTTGCAATGCACATGTATCACATTTTTTCAAAGTAAACCCACCTTGCCTGAAAGTTTTAATTTGTAACTTGACATAGGAAGACTACAAAAACGCTCTACGTTATCTACGGATTTCAAATTAAGCAATCATGTTCTCACCTCAACTTTTTATTCAATTATTACTTTTGAATTCCTACACTGGATTATGTAATATTCAAAGTAAAAGATTGCAGTTACTTTTATGGAAGAATTGACTGAATTTACTAAAAATGACTATTTTAAATATCTTTCGTAGATTTTTTTCTTCATTGTATATCTAGGGGTGGACTCGGGCCGGGCGGCCCGGAACCCGGTCTTGGAGCCGGTTCGGGCTAACCGGAACCGGTCAGTTCCCGGTGCGGGCTCGGCCACCCTAAAACACGAACCGGACCGGCTGGTCCGGACCCGGTTCGGGAATAATTTTTTTGTTTTTTCAATTTTTTTTAGGAAAATTTGAAAATAATAATCCCAACTATTGCGATGTGCTAACAATAATCCCAACTATTGATTATTTTTGTATAATCCCAGCTATATGGACCGTCCGCCAATAATGGTCCATGACCATATATTACAGTGATGATGACAAGTGATTTTTAAATAGAAATTAAGCATAAAAATTAAAAGTTAGGATTATTTATAGGGATTACTTGCTATATCTTTTCTCATCCACTTTAAAAATTACAAGAATTTATTTATAGGGACCATTATTGGCGGAAGTTTCCTCTAATTGGGATTATTCTGAAATAATCGATAGTTGGGATTATTATGAGCGGATCCCCAATAGTCTGGATTATTACTATCAATTTTTCCTTTTTTTTTTATTCTATCGGGTTGTGTTGGGTGTTTTGGGGGGTTTGGGGGGGTGTGGGGGGTGAAGGGAGGGGGGGGGTCAGAAGTTGATTAGAAAAGCAAAAGAAAGTAAAAAAAAATAAGCCCAAACCGGAACCAGCCCTGTTTGGGCCCGGCCCGGCCCGGAACCGCCGGCTACCCGGGCCGGTTCCGGTTCCACCTTTCCCAAATAAAAGCACGGCCGGGCCCAGGCCCGAACCGAAACCAGAATCGGCCCGGCCCGGGTCCACCCCTATGTATATCTACAAGAAGAAAACTATTTGTACACGCCCCCATTTGTTTATATGTGTATAAACAAATTCTTTATCTGTTAATGGCATGTTAGACAAAATGTATTGTCTATGAACATGCTATTCACGAACAAAAATGTAGCCCGTTGACGAACACATGTATGGGCTTGTACAACAAAAGGGCAGATCTCTATTCTCTAGAAATACCGGCATTTTTATCTTACAGATGAACATGGTTACCCTCTACGGCTCCATTCTTTTTTACATAACAACCTAGCCATCAAGCTCTGCTTTGTCAAGGCAGGGGGTTTATTATTAATGAGATTGTACTAAATAAATCCACAAGGCACTATTGTTAAATAATGAAATAATTATGTATCGAAGTGATCACAAGAAATCAATAGTGTATAGCAAGCGTGGTACACATCTTCCACCCCTCAAGAACAAATAGTATATTGTGATATATAGTATGAGTATTCCTATATAGCTGAAGGGAGAGGGGGTGGGCTTTTTATTGCGGTTGAGACAATGGACAAATGGTTCCGATCAGTAAATACATATCTATCTATAACATCCCATCATAAATAAACCACACGGAAGGAGGCATCATCAGTGTGTAAAACCAGCTTGGATCAAGCACTGCACATGCAATCCGGGGCAGGGTATGCATAAACAGATTTATTCGGTTTACGAAACCGTATCTCACCTTGTCGGTTTGCATGACCTTCAACCACTGCCTCACGGAACTCCGGCCAGGTCATATTCTTGTTCAGGAAGAGTTGGCCTAACAGTTGCATGTTTGGTCTTATTGTCTTCATATTATGGTATGTCCGATGTCCCACCTGAAATTTCCAGTGAATATAGTGATATTTAAAAACTCTTTGGAGGCATAGTAGACATATAATGATATATATTCATGGAAAATTACTGTTACCTCTTGAGGTTAACCGTAATATAGTGAATATAGTAGGCAAGCTATATGTCGCTCCATTAATATACGGAATATAGTCATATCATCATCATCATCATCATCATCGCCACAAAGGCTCCCTCCCACCTACAGTGGGGTAAGGGGGGTCGGATGGGGTAAGGGGGGTCGGATGTACGCAGTCTTACCCCTGTACTAAAGCACAGAGAGACTGTTTCTGAATGACCCATTGTGAAAATCACGTCGAAAATTTCACGGAATATAGTCATATATTCATGGAAAATTACAGTTACCTCTTGAGGTAAGTCATGATTATAAGTCTAATATTGTGCTTACAAAAGTCAGTTAAGCCCTTACATTTTGAACATCCTGATTACTCTTCCCTTCTGTCAATATTATCTAATTTTAATTGACTTTACTTAATTGTCAAGTCTAACAATGTTCTTTTTAATCGACTATTATTCCTTAAATAATAATCTCCAAATATAGCTCCAATAAACAAACGTGCCTAATGTGATATGGAGTCAACATTTGTCCTTCATCATTGTAATGATTGCTACTCGTTATTTCTCCTTACATGGAAATGCCATGGAAAAGTAGCATACGGATGGAATAATGTTAGGGATTGGGCCTAATGGACTGTTAGGAATTGGGCCTAATAAACCCAGAATAATAATAAGTGTAATAGTTAGTATAAATAGACTAAACTGGGGAGAAGTCGAGTAGGCTGTTTTAGACTTTGACTCTGGGACTTTGGGAGATCGAGAATTTTCTCTTTCTTTGGGGGGCTTCGGCTCATTGGGAGGCTTCGGCCTAGGTCACCGATACTGTCATCTTATTCATCAATAAAATTCTCAGTTGTTCTTGATATTTTCTGTGATTTTTTGCTGCATACCTGGACTGTTCCTATCAATTGGTATCAGAGCAGTGTTCGATCGCTGGATGAGATATACGCGCGCCAAAATGGAAGCCAGAATGAATGAGGTGGAGCGAAGCATGGTGGATATTGGAAGAAATCAAAGAGAACTGCAAGAGCAACTGGATCGGAGGATGCGTGAATTGCAGAGTAACCTGGCGGACAACCTGGCCGAGAAATTGGCCTCGATTCAGACATCGATGCAAGCGACGATGCAAGCGAACTTGGCGGAATTTCAGAAGAACCTCGCTAGTCGATCGCGAAGCCTCTCTCACCGATCATCTGCATCGCATTGATCATCTACCTCGCATCGTACTTCGCATCATCACCATTCGCCTCACCATCACCCTTCGCATTACCATCACCAATCGCGACATTCAGCGAGTTCTGAGGAATCAGAAGGGAATGACAACTATTCACCACCGCGTCGCCACCATCATCGTTCACTTCACCATCATCGTTCAACTCACCCTCATCGTTCGCGACAGTCAGCTAATCCAGAGGGATCGGAAAACAATTCCGACTATTCACACAAGTCATGGTTTTTTGTAATCAAAGGAAAAATGTTTTCACTAGACAATTTTAGTTAGATTTGACCGTTAATAGAAGACAAATTTGGGATAATAATCAAAATTTAATGTCAGTCTAGTAATAGTGACCAATTCTAGAGGGGTAACAATAAGATTTCCTATATACATTCCATCAAATCACTTACCATTGCATTATGCATATTTCCAGGTGATGCAGAAATAAAAACATCACTATGCATGCCGACGTAGTAATCGACCGCGGCTAGTAAGGAGGCCTTTCCTTTAATCTGACTTCTTTCAACTGAAGAGGCAAGGCTCTTCTTGTCCTCCATTAACGGAAACAAACTTCTTAAGGCGGAAATTCGGGCTTCCCCACCATAGACCTATAAAACAGTATCGACAGGGGTTTCACACATAAGTTTAATTTCTTTATTTTATAAACAAAGCAAAGTAAATTGGCATAAGGCTTTGTGCAAGGCACCTTGTGGGAAGCAAGATATAAGCGAGTGCGATTGTCAAACCCTAAGGCTGCAAGCAATAACCCAACTTCTTCTGGGGTGAGTGGGCACCGACCCTGACTCCTCAACTCCTCATCAGTGAATTGGGAATTTAGGACTCTTCCCTGCCAATATATCTGCCGGTACTTTGCTAGGGCTAGTTTCTCAGCCTTACCCCCACCAAAATCACAAGCGGAATGAGCAGCCATATCCTGATAGGTAACCAAATGCCCAGATTTTAGGAATTTAGACGTTCAAAATTACAAGGAAATGGGAGAAAACACTATTAAGCTTTTGTAATCCTTCTTAAAAACCGGATGTGGGCTGACTGAAGCAAAGCAATATTGAAATGTTTGTGTTTGTTTTGACGCTTACCCTGATCAAATTGCTTGATAAAATGCTTGATTTCACATCACAGTGATCACACTATGAAAAGATTTCAATGTTGGTCACATTACTTTCATTGTTCCATTTTGGTGCATGATTATGATTGTTAGCCACTTTATGTCCATTCTGCCCACTTTTACAGCAAAAACCAACCAGAAATTTCACATAAGTTGACCAGGTAAGTGGTTTGAAGGACAAGTGACAAATAAAAAACATCTATAGTCATGGACTAAAGTGAAAAAGGAAGTTAAAAACCACAGATGGGAACGATCTTATAGTCGTGAAAACACAAGTTGAATATTAATATAGAAAAATTAAACCTTTATGTCTTACTGGGCTCAACAAATTAGTATAGAAAATCAAATTCGATTAGTAATAAATCAACAATTTTGTTTGAAAGTATTAAGACTTGGTTTCAATTGTCAAAGACACCCTAACCATAGTAGTAGTCCAAGAACTTATAGCAGTAGTAATCCATGAGCTTATAGCTTGGTTTGGAATTTTATATACCAGTGAATAACACAAAAGGCATAACATATATAGACGAAATTACTAAAGCAATGCCCCACACCTTATCAAAGCGAAGGTGAACGGCTACAAACTTCTCGCCAGCCCCTTGTTTGCTGTCATTGTCACTACTGTTAACCTCTTCTTCAGGAAATCTGAGGCGATGAACAAGGGCATCCCCGAGGGATCTGATATGTGGTACAAAAACTAGTGCTTGAAAGTTGACTTTACAACGTAGATGCTGGATGTCCTTTGGCATGTTATCAAATGCCAGGCGATGAGCAAATGGTGAAATGGCTGCGATTCCATAACTGATGATGCATTTACAGGTTTTATAGATCAATGCCCAAGACATACACGTAGACAATCATAATGAATGAAGTACCCAAAATAATGTAAAAAGTTCTTTCTTTTTTCAACTGAACACCACAATGTCAATATATTGCTTTGAAAATGGAAAAACGTATAATGCAAGCCTACCAATCCTCAAATGACTATCAATACCAACTTTAAAGGACAATCTCATTATGGTATCAAGGGTCTCTTTGGCACTCAAAATTACTAGGTAAAAAAGATAGGAAGGAAAATGAGGGAAATTAGGGTGGAAATAAAAGCTTAGACTTGCACTCAATAAATTTATTTTGGATATTTGCTCAAACTTAGTTTATATTTTAATCCTATCTAATATACAGCCAGTTTTTCCCAAAATATTACTTAAATAAAACTTATGGACAAAAAATATGACAAACGTCAGTCACTACAGTGTAAATTTGAAATTACTCATAGTCACTAAAAATTACAATCATATTCAGATAAGAAGTCGCATTTTAGTCCACCATCTTTATTTTAGTTACTCTCCTTTGCATTTTCCACAATAAAAGAAAAACATAAGAAAATAGCTTTTATAGGCATTTTTTCATTCTTGCATTTTCCACAACCCAAACATGCGCTAAATGAAGCAGACTTTCTTCCAACTCAGATGAAGCTTGTAAGAATCACCTGCATAATACTCTCTCATCCCAAAGAAAAAGTCTTGGTTGGTCAAGGTACTACCTTTTTAAACTTTGGCTAGGTACAACTTAAAATTCATGGAATCCTACCTATTTCTAATTTTTTATGTTTTAGATAAATTTATCATTTTAAGACCAGGTAAACTATCTTGGAAAATTACATAAAAGATTAGTTTCACAAATCTTTTATGACTTTTGTTGGACAAGAAATGTTTTCAAGACAAGATCTTTTTCCCTTTTGAGGTGTGGTGGAGGAGGGTCATACACTTCAGAAAATAAATGTATATATCATCTAAACTAACCTCTGAAGAACCGGCAACACATTGTCTGAATACCAGTTTGCAGAAGCATGAACTGGGGCTGTCTTGATTCTGGTAGGTCTAATAGCAGAGGAATAATACTCCCTTGTGCTCCATGAGTACTCATCAGGCAACTCCTTTACTATAGAGACATCATCTTTCAATACATTGATGAAGTGATCCACATCAAAGATTTCCATGAACGTGCTGTTTGGTTCAAATGGTCAATAATTAGCACACTATCTACTGAAGCTCGAGGTTTTGTTCTGAAAGTTATAACTGATTTTTTTTTCAAACATTTTGTATTTTTCTATATGTGGGATGAATATGCAATTTCAAGACAAGTACCTTGAATCTTGCCAAACTGGATTCACCTCCAAATGAGGAATCACGAGAGTAGCATTAAGAATTTTTGCAACAGCAACTGCATCACATATCTGTTTAGTCACCAAAATATTTATATAAGCATAATTAGTAAAACAGCTTGGTACTAGCCCTTAAAACACACAAAAAACCTACCCCCATTCTCTGTTGGTTCAATCCTCCATCAAGGAACACTTGAAGGTACCCCTCAGACTTTCCAGCTAATGCTGCTTGTGATTTAATGCTTAGTCAGATAAGGATTTAATTGCTAATTTCCTATAAACAGATAATAAAATGTGACAGATTTGCATCACTGACCAGAGACACGGCTTGAGTCACTATTGGGTTTCCATCCTTGGTTGGCCAATGGCATCCATAGCTGAGATTTTTCTTCCAGGCTCTATATTAGAAAAATAAAAAAAAGGACCAAAATTTATACGGAGTAATAGTTAAAAAGGGGTTCATTCTCTTACATTATTCAAAACTTTGAAAGAAGATACAAAGATCAATCACTCACAGTTTGACGTTGTAGAGCGCTCTTGAAAAGACTCGAGTGCCTAGGTTTAGGTCCAACTGATTCCTGTATCACACATTTAAGGTTCAGAAAGGCCTTGTTTGGATTGACTGGGTGGTCTGAACTGGATTACTGGGTATTGAATTACTTGGACCAAGTCTACTCATCCAACTAATCAAATTCATACTCTTGAGTCTTAACTACAAATACTTACTAACAAGAAATATAAAAACTTTTAAGCCAACTTAAGCATAAGGAGCATTAAAAAGGGCAGAATTGACTGAAATGAGAAGTTTCAAAAGGATTGGATTACTGGGTATTCCATTAGATGGCCATCCATAGTTCTAAATAGAGAAATAAGCCCAAAAAAATCCGAAAAACGCAATCTTTTTGACGAAAAACAAGAATAAAAAAACAATCTTGGTCAACTAATACCTTCCCAAGAACACATGTTGTTGCTGTTATTATTAGTATGAATACATATATTGAAATGTCATCCTTAAAGTCGGGCGTTTACCAGCAAACCTTATTTTTGCTTCATCAACAGCAACAGCACCGACACTACTGGAAAAATAAATATACATAAAGAAAACAGTCAGAGAAATTACCAGGAAAATGGAAGAAGAAGCGTGGCAGAAAGAAGAGACAAATAGCGCCGGCAAGAGTAGAAGAAAGAGAGCAGCCATGGCGGACGCCGGAGTAAGCGGTGGCGGTGGCCCTGACTGATCTCAACGGCACTTTAAAGAATTGCTTACTGGGCCAGCACAGTCTTAAAAGGAAACAACAAGCAAAGATTTGATGGGAGATGGATAGATGGAGAGAGAGAGGAGAAAGCAAGGAATGGAAAGAAGAAGACTGGGAAAGTCATTAATCAACCCATTAAAGCATCTCACATGGGACACCTATCTCCTTCATACATACACCTCTGTATCTGTATACATACATCACCCACAACATCAATAATGAAGGAGTACATTGTACTTCCTACTGTGCATATATACCAAATATGGATAGTCCATTGAATCCAATTTAGCTTAAATTGGTGGGTTCTTTAAAAGATTTTTGGTAATTTAACTGTTTGGCCATAAAATTAATAGAAAATATCATTTTTCAAAATGTCAACCCAAAACTCTCATATTAACAGCGTTTTCGCCCAAAACGCTAGTACCGAACCGCTATTTACCAAACAACTTTTTCACTTGTTGAAAACGCCGAAAGTGGTCAAACCGTCATTTTTCAGCTGAAACGCTATTAACCAAACACCCCAAAATCTACTAAAGTAGTCACCAATTATGTTAAATTAAATTTTTATAAGAAAGAAAAGAAACAAATCATGAAAAAATAGTGTTTCCATCTTTAGACTAAAAAAAGAAAGTATATCTTGCCAAATGGCAAATGAGAGATGTGGTATCGCCGTATCGTTCAAAGTACAAGCTTAGAAGAAAGAGAATTTACCCAAAATAGGACTAAAAAGGTTTGAAAATTCCAAAATAGGACTGTCATGTTTTTATTCCCAAAATAGGACTAATTAATGTCATATTTTGGCAGTATCAGACTTCAAACATGACAGTATTTTCCAAACTTGGCAGTAATTACTCCTATTTTGGGAATAAAAAACATGACAGTCCTATTTCGGAATTTTCAAGCTGTTCCCGAAATAGAACTAAAACAGTTTGAAAATTCCAAAATAGGACTGTCATGTTTTTATTCCCAAAATAGGAGTAATTACTGTCAAGTTTGGAAAATACTATCATGTTTGAAGTCTGGTACTGCCAAAACATGACAGTAATTAGTCATATTTTGGGAATAACAACATGACAGTCCTATTTTGGAATTTTCAAACGTTTTTAGTCTTATTTCGGGTAATCTTTGTTCCTAATGATGCTGAATTAAATGCTACTTAATTTAAACAATTAACATTAAATTAATCAATATCGTGAACCAGAATGTGCTTACACTTTTGGACGGAGCTATGGGGTCTTTTTTAGGTTGAAGCTAGAAAGAATTAGTACTGTCGCCTGGACGACAAAAACTGTACTCCACTAATACGCAATAGTATATCTAACTTGTGACTATAAAAAGATGCAAATTGCAAATGAAGAAAGCTAGGTAAAAATGCAACTTTTAGATATTTGACACCAAAATGGTAAAATATTCACGTGTGAACTTTAGCTACAAAGCCCGTACCGTACGTAGATAGGATAAAGGCCGGGGCGAAAGGCGATAGGGCATCAACGGCTAGATTTATAAAACTACAATCATTCAATTGTGTTATGACTTACGTAGTATGATGGACATAGCTCAAATGGTAAATCGAGAGTGCCACAAAGGTAATTTTTTAGCTTGAATTGCAACAACTATGGTGAAATCACTGAAATGTACAATATAAAAATGCATACAATTTTTGCAAGCATTTGAGTCAACGTCATACTCCTTATCTACTAGTTTGTGATTAAAGTGTAACTTATATTCTCTCGGTTAACTGTCCGACCAGTGTCGAGGGGCATCAACGGCTAGATTTATCCGTAGTAAAACTTCAGTGGAGCTCGTCCGGTAAAACTCAAATCGGCTGTATTGACTGATTTTACTGAAATTTATGAAGTTTTGACTGAAATGACCGGATTGATTGATTTTACTGTTTTATGAAGAAAAAAATCTATTAATAAAACAAAAAAAATATACTCCGTATAAAAAAACTGCTAAAATTATCATTTACAACGACTTCAGCGAAAACGATTTCAGCGCGTGAAACCAAAAATTACGGGAGTATGAAATTGTTGACCGATAAGCTTGATGATTCAAAAAACAGAGTTAGCTCTTCCTATACATGCTTGTTTATACGCTAGGTTGCGTGTCCGTTTTTGTGTGTACAAAGACAATAAACAAACGTGAAAAGTGTAACCCAGCACGTACAAAATACGTTTTCTCAAAATCAAGAATGACAAAGAAATGCATGATACATGCACTAATGCAAAAATTATTTTGTATCCCTCCTTTTTTATATTCTTTTTCCTATTTTTATTACTTTTTTATCTATTACTTTCTGCTTTTTTTCAACAAAATGCTGCCTCAAACTCTAATTTTAATACTCCGTAAGGACCGTAACACGTTTTTCTCTGTTCTCGTAACTTCATATGCCAGTGTGTCGACAACTTGCTTTTGTGAAAATAATACTCCGTATTTTTATTAATGTGAATCATGATGTGGACAGCAATTATTGCTATTAATATATATACACTCTGCTGGCTAGAAAATGATGTAGTATTTGTACGTGGCAAGAGGTGGAGGGGAGTTGAGTGCCTTTATGGTTCGAGTTTAGCTTTGTTGACTTTTTTTCATAAAATTTGGTCTTTTGAGACTGTTCAATATCACATACGAAGTATGACATCAACTTATAATAGATCGGATCCTATGTCATATACTGTATCATATGTATACTCTATACACAAGAAAAAATTAATTTATATTAGACCAGCACATTATAATTAACGAGATTAAATAAAACAAAACAATTAAGTCAAAGATAACATGTCTTTAATACAACAATTGTATCCTAAAATTCTAAAAAACATTAGCCCGGGCAACAAATTGAGAGCAACAATTTAATGCAACATTAGGATTTGATACGGGGAAAAGAGTGAATTAATGGAGGGTGAAATTTAGATTTGGTAATAAAATTGATCTGAATAGCAGTTGATCTGATTCTAGAGTTTGGTTGAAGAATTAAATAAATAGGTACAGTACTCGGGGAAAATGAAGATAAAAATATTGTTACAACCAACCCAAAATTCCTTGTTTTCCCCGTTAGCGAGAGCATGACTGCCGCATATGGGAAACCCTAGAAGGGTTAAAAAACCAATTAGGTGAGGAACGGCAAAGGCTCTTGATCATTTAAGCTTCAACGAATATTGAAAAAGAGGTGGGTAGATTCGTGTGAGTGGTGTTTTCTTTCCGATGATTTTTAGGTTTTTCTTCTTTTATCAATTTTGACAGTGGTGTTATGAGTCGTTTCTTCTCAAATTAATGATTCTAGTGCTTAAAGAGTGTTATGTTATTGTTTAATTAATGTTAATATGATGACACTCATTGATTTTTAGATATATTTTTCTATAATCCCTATCCACCATCGATGAAGAAAACAACAACAATGGTGATGATTTTATGTTCATTGTCAGAGAGATGAAATGGTTGCAACCGCGGAGACAAAGGAGACCAGCGTTGTGTAGGGCGGAGATGAAAAGTAACGGGTGCAACGAAGACGTTGCATACGAGAAATCTCATTCTCCTCCACCGATGTAGTGTAGTGTAGTGTAGTGTAGTGTAGTGTAGTGTAGCGTAGAGCGATTTGCAGACGCGCGATGGTGGTGGCGAAGATGTTCAAGTTGGCGGTGATACATGCTAGGCCGATGGTGATGGGTCCTTCGAAAGAGAAGGCATGCAATGTGAACGACCTAACGGCTGGAAGTGATGGATGCAGAAATATGCGACGACCCAAGCAACGAAAGTGAATACAAACTTAAGTTTTGCGGGCATTTTGGCCCCTTCAGCTTTATTTGATCTCTTTTTTGTCCATATGAAAAAACAGATCATATTTTTTCAATTATAAAGTTTATAATATTATTGTTATCATTATTTCATCGATTTCATTATCACGGTTTACTTTCATGTATTAAAATTACAAGTATTATTTGAAAAGATATAATTTTAGAATCTAAAACATTTAATGTTGTTACTATTATTATTATAAAAATGATTTACTAATTGTATAAATATGAAATGGTGCACAGCTAGGGTAAGTTTGCGGAGCTTGGGGTTGGCGATTCCTTCGCTCGACGTTTGTTCACTGCAAAAGGAGATCGACGTAACGAAGCGTGCGATCAAAGGCAATTGTTCAGTACACACTAGAGAAGGCCGAGAATCCTTCTCGAAGGTCACAAGGGAAGTTTCGTGGATTCTATCGCTAGCGAATAGCTTGAACGAGGGTACGACAACCCATAATGGCGGACGTAAATGAGATGGAGGAGATTAACAGGTTAGCAAACGTGTATGGCAGATTGGAGATGGAGGAGGGAGATGAATTTCTACACGTGGAGGCTAAAGCTCTAGGGATTGAGGAGGTATGGTTGACCCTGGTAGGAACAATCATGTCTGAAAAGTCGGTACATTTCTCTTTTTTTCATGATACTATGGCCAATGTTTGGAAGCCTGTTAGAGGTGTTACTATTACTGAGATAGGTGCACAAAGATACATGTTCCAATTTTACAGTGAGAGTGATATGACACGAGCCTTAGAGGAAGGGCCATGGACTTTCGACCAGAATCTCATTGTGTTTTCTAAATTAAAGCAAGGAGACTTGCCTTTGAAGGTACCGATGAATAAGGCTGACTTCTGGCTACAGGTTCATGATGTGCTAATGGGATATTTTTCTGCGAAAAATGCTATAAAAATTGGAAATTTTGTGGGGAGTTTTATCAAGGTGGATGAACATAATTTCTTTGTTGAATGGAACCCCTACATGAGGTTAAGGGTTAGTATTGATTTGAACAGACCTTTGATAAGGAAATTGTTACTCCAATCAGATTAAGGGGAAATTTTTTGTGTAAAGTTTAATTTAGGTATGAAAAATTGCCTAGTTTTTGTTTTGCCTGCGGAATTATAGGTCATGCAGAGAGGTTCTGTCCGCACTATCCTAATGGCAAAGGCAGGAGCAGAGGTTTTCTCTTTGAACCTGAGTTGAGAGCTTCAAAAGGAAACGTAGTTGTGGGGGGGGGGACAAATGGCTAGTCCCAGTTGGCAAAGGAAAAGGGAAAGAAGATGAGGGGGGAATAAGGATGGCAAGCTTGGATGCAGAAGGAAGGCCGCAACAGGGGAAAGATCA